AACGTTTGGTAAGTAGTTTCGTTCTTCGAAATGAATCGGAAATGTATTTTATACTTTGCAGGTTTGTCATTTGGCATTCTATAGAATGTCTAGGAAATGTGCGAAATATGAATCATTTCATACATTGCCGGCTAGTTTTAGGCATTATATACAATAGCATTCTATAGAATGCTGGATTTCATACTTTGCCGGTAACATATATATATATTCCTTTACAATATATTTACATCATATCCTTTACAATATATTTTTCTTTACAGTGTAAGAGATTATACTTTTCCAGTTTTCTGAAAAGTACTATTTTTTCATCAATTAATAATATACAAACATATGAGATGATTATATGCAGCAAAGATTAAAATAATTTTAAAATACAACAGTAACCTTACAAACAATACGGTGAACCTAATAAGTAATATCTTTCATTATTATACAAAATTCATGCACTACATATATATGTATAAGCACAATTTGAGGAGCGCTGATGTAAGACTACTGAGATGTAGAAGTATAGCAATGTTGTTTAGCATAGATATTTGATGCCTAGAGCTCCATCTATTTTGAAGAAGAAGAAGCCAGTTGCCTTTAACCCATTAGCCGCTGGTGTTGCATTGACACAACGATCAAAATAAATGCGTATATAAATATAACTACCTAAGATATTTTATACCAGCAGATGATTTTGTGTAGGGAATATTATGAAGATTATTTCAGTAAAAAAATTTGCCTTCAACACTCATTTTGTTTATAATAATTAATCTCATACTTTAAGCAATATTTAAGCAAAATTTTCGACCGGGTAATTTTGCTGAAAATATTTAACCAAAGAATCGCCATCTTTATGAGTGATCTATTTTTAGTCAAGGTCACTGTTTATCAGAACATTACGTCAGTCAGATGTTTATATTTGTGTTGGGAAGGAAGGGAAAACAGGTGTTGCACTGACGCAACGTTAGCAGAAACGGGTAAATCAATCTCCTTTTTCACTCATTCCTTTCGATGTTCTGGTTCATGTTCTGGCTGCTTTAAAAATTCCTAGAATGAGGTATCTTACATTAGAAGGAGCCCTTCAAAGTTTTTTGATGAAGAAACAGATGATGATAATGTTAATAATGACCAGAATGAAACTGATATTGTTGTTGTTCCCCCAGAAATTGCAGAACCTAGTGATGAAGAGGAAAGGAATTTTCCTGCATATTCCACAAATGTATCACTGCTGGGGAAGTTGAAATTCACGTAAGAAGTAAGTTTCAGCCTTCTAAAAGCCGTTGTAGTCATACTAAAAAGTTTAAAAACAGAAGACTGAAAGCTTGAAGTGGATAAAAAAGGAACTGTTAGTTATGTCTCAAGAAGAACATGAAGAAAGAGACAGAAGAGAAACTATAAAAGACAAAATACAAGGTAAACTAGTGCACAGATTTTCGATTTTCCTTTTTGGGTTTAGACATTTACTCTCTTCTCGTTGAACAGACAAATATATACGCTCAGGGAAAAAAAAAAAAAAAAAAAAAAACCCAGAATTTATTGCATCTGAAGCCTATATGAGAAGATTTATTGGAATATTATTGCTTACAGGATATCATTCTTTACCTCAAGAAAAATGTATTGGTTCTTTTGATAAGGACATTTCTGTTCCTGTTGTACGAGAATCGATATCACGTTTGCAGTACAGGAATATGAAGCAGAATTTGCATTTGACAATACTGATAAATTATATGAGGTGAGACCGTATCTAAACTTACTAAATATCACCACTTTTTACTACTGGAAATATAAAGTCTCTTTTAGATTTCAGACGCGAGAATGCATTATTCCTTTTGCAAACTCCTATTGAGAGTGTAGAATTAGCCAGAAATAGATCAGCAACAGGAAGACCTAGTAAATTCAGCATTCAAAAACCATTGCATGGAGATGGTAGACATTTTATCGTAAAGTCCGTTGATAACAAAAGACTTTTTTGTAAAGAGTACCATAGCCAGACTGTTTATAGATGCAAAGTATGTAATGTAGCTTTACATCATGATTGTAATCAAGCTTTTCATGCTTGAATCTTTCAATTGAAATAATCTGTATTTGTAAAAGAAATACAATGTATATTTTAATATTAAATTAATTACAAGTAAAGTGATTTGTAGATTTATAAAACGTTATACAGCTAAAAAGTAATCCTGCGCTCCACTCAAAAGAAACATCACACGAGTACAATCCTACTCACTAAACATCCGTAGTCTTATTCCGCTGACGTTGCGCGAACGCAACACTCGCTTTTTCCACAGGTAAGAGCATTTTTTTAAATTTTCAATGTAAATTTATGTTATAAATGCTTAATTTAATATTTGTTATTATTTTCATGAGAAAAGAATCATTCCTTGTAGTTTTGGTGGTTAATGGGTTAAACAGGGAACGGATGCTTTTATAAACAACTGCCAAAGCAACACTTAATCACTTATGAGTCAGTTTTAAGTAAGTTTGCTCAACAGATGGAAATGTTTGTATCAGAGAAAGCTGTGGGGTCTTCTAATTTTGTGTAAAATAAGAAAATTAGAAATGTAACAATCACAGTAAAAACCATAATTTTAGTAATACTGTAATAAAAAGTATGATGTTAAACTATAAGCTATAATAATATAAATTAGTTATGTTTTGAAGAATTTGAATTTTTTTTTGCAATTATTCAAAGTAAGTAATGCGTGTGGAAAATTTTTCAACTATGATATTGTGTGCAAAGGCTTCCCTGAAAAAAGTCTAATTACATGGACTCTAAAACACAAAGACTTTTGGACTGAAATTTCTAAAGGACTCTAAAATATTATCAAAGTTTATATTTTGCAATTACATAAATAATTATTTTGCTAAAAATTTCAGGATTGTATTTTTAAAATTACTTATCTTCATCTGCTAATGCTTTAGCGCTTTCTCTCTAAAAAACTTTCTCACCCAGGCCTTTTCTTCTTGAAGGGGGGGGATATGTAAAATATAAAATCTAGCTTTGAAATAATAAATTAACAGCCTTTAAACTCCTGTCTTCATTCTAAAAATAGCAGAGAAATAAATTTTTTAACTGAATGAAAAAGATCCGTCATCAAATTTGTATAACTCACTTATCAATGAAGTTTGAACTCAACACCTGTACATCAAACTATCATGTGATATGAAATGGAATTCGTATTAAAGGTTAATTACATCGCAAATCCTTCTTCTCTTCGCTCGTCTCTTCTGCTGCTTTCCGCTGTGTCCATGCAAATTTTACTTTTCTAAATTTGCTCATTGTTTAAAATGTGAGCTGTAGAAAATTGGGAGGTGCATAGCACACGCACAGTGATAGTATCAATTATCAAAAATTAAATTACGTGTGGAATTTACCGTTATGAGTGTTTTTTGATTATCATCTTGCTAAGTACGCAGCAAAGTCTTCAAGTTATGATGTCGTCCTCTCCAATGCCAATCCACTACAACTCTCACCAAGTCATCTTATTTCAATAATAATACTGTTTTATCACAATAATGGAGCAGTTTTATTATATATATATATGTAGTTAAAAATTATTTATATTTTATAGCTAAGTGTGTGTACTATGATTTCCAGACTTTTATCTTTCAGTATATCTATAACAAGCAATGTTCCACATGATTCATTATCATTCATACAATGAAAAGAATTTCTTACTACAGCAATTAGGATATGATGAAAGGTCTCAAGATTTCTTCCCTGTACTTGAATGTTTAAATAAATCCTTTCTGATTACTCAGAAGTCAGCATATCCATTAATAATTAAGCAAAATTCTTCAACTAAATAAAGCTTTCCTTGTACATGGGAAGAATTTTTACAGGAAGGTATTTTCCAAATTTGAATGTAAATACAACAGTTATCCAACTGCATGCTAAATTTTAACTTTTCTCTAAGCAAAATAGATTGTCACAGTTCAATATGCCAATAAGAACACATTAATTATTCATTAATACTAGATAAATCAGTGGTCTTCAGGCACACAGTGTTATTTCAAAACGATAGTGAATGGTTTGTATCAATTCAAACCAGCCTGCTTCTGCATAGAAAGATCTTTTCACATCTGTGACACCTTGCTGATAAATAATGATGTTCCCTTGGAGTAGTAATTCATTAATGACTTTGTCCTGCTCTATGACTTTTTGCCACCTATGATTTGGTCTTCCATGCACTTACTGTTTTTGAAGTTTAGAATCCACAGTCTGTGGAACCACATTTTTAGTTCCACAGTCTGTGAAACTAAAAATGCTTGCTGATTTCGACAGGTTACCAAACTTCCTACAGTCTACAAATTTATACAATCTATTAAATTTTATGCATGAGATATAACTGAACTTAATGGGGCATGCCTGATAAACTAATCAGGATTTAAAGGCGGTTTTAAGCAATTATGTTTGCATATATAGAACACATCCTTTTTGTAAATTTTTATATTCACTATATTTTTACAGTAATAATCAATTGTTTAGAACCTACTGTTACACCTTTGTATGAATTTTCTTTCACTTCCTTGATGATCTTTTGCTTATGACATACAGTCCCTCCATTTTCTTGAGCAATGTAATAGTAAACCTCCGCTGAGCACCGATTTGCGAAGCACAATTTCACTCATACATGGTATCTTAATTGTTTGCATTTGATTTCTCCAGTGCTGAATTTCATTTATAAGTTGTTCAGCATATGTTCATTCACACTTAATGCTTGCTGGCATCAATTATCAACAAATGAAATTATCAACAATTTATAGGATTTCCAATGACTGAAAATAAAACCAAAGAAATTGAACTAATCACAGATGCAATTGGTGGCAAAAAAGTTTTAGATGTGGAAGAAGTAAAAGAATAAATTGAGGAATGACTAATACGACGTGGATGATCTTATCTCCAAAAGCAAAAGCATTGATAATGAAGAGGTTAAAGCCCCTTTAACTTTGAAGAAGTTAAACACTTGTGGATAATTTTGGAAAGAAAATTCAGATTAAAAACCACTTACTTCTAGTTTTGAAGGTGCAAACATATCAGATTGATCAGAATCTTCAAATATAGATTTGTTTTGCTCAGACTGAGGCTCCTGCATTTAAAATAATAATTATAACAGACATACAAGAAATCAGCCTGAAAGTAACTGATCAAAAGATTTAGACACATCTAGATCTTTTTTTTTTTTAACAATACAAAATTTTCAAACACAATAAAATTTTTTCAGTGGTAATTTGTAACTGAATGACTGTTGCTATAAAGTCTTTTTGCTGCAAAATACATTTTGTTTTGCTCAATGAAATACAGTACAAAATCTGAAATCCAGAATGATTAATATCTTTACCTCAAGATCTTGCTGGTTGGAAAATCACGTCCTAGCTATTTATTGATTGACAAATTGAGGATAGCCATGACCCCACTTCAGGACATTTTCTGGCCCTTGAATGAATGTGCACTTGTGGGGGAACAGTATTTTTCTGTCTGACTGAAACAATATGGGCAACGTTAAGACATAAATGTTTGGTGTGGGATGTTGCTCATACTGGTTTTCATTTGTTAGCATAGCAGCAGAAAAGGGAGAAAGAATTAGATTCCAAGGTTCAGTTAACATAGCAAACTGTGCTCTTCCTTAATTTTCTAATTTGATTATATATTCTTTATATTTATATTATTATTATTTATATTATTTTTGCAGGCTATCATTATTACAGCTATCTTATTAAAGTAAGAATTTTCATTTATGTCAGAGTTTTCTAATTCTAGAGCTCCAGCAGGATCTGCACAGTAAAAGCATGTTTGATGTCAATCAAAAAGGCATATTTGTCTCAAATTTATGTGAGTAACATGGAAGTAGAAAGTCAACAATATATAACATAACAAAGACAGAAAAAAAAGTTTTTGAACTTTTTCTGCACATCCTGACATTCTACTCACAATGAATAACAGAAAAATCATTTGTTGTGTTAAAAACAGCAATCAAGACAAAGTGATAACAGAATGGGTTCAAGGGCATGCTATTGATAGGTTCAGTGTTTATGGCTCAAGTCAAAATATTTCACGAGGAAATAGAACTTAAAAACTGATTTTACATATTCAACAGGATAGTTAACCAAATTTAAAAATCACTGGGATATGGTAAGTTAATTTCAGGTGAAAAAACATCAGCTAATACTGAAGCAGCTGAACAATTTGCATATGAATTCATCAAACTAATTAATACTGGAAAATTATATCCAGAACAAATTTATAACACTGATCAAACAAGTCTTTTCTGGCAATATACACATAAAATACCTTGGCGAAATCAGCACAAATAAAAGATTCCAAGATGAGACTAAAGTTTTGGGCATATGCAAATACTGCAGGCATGAACAAATGCAAACTTTTTGTAATTGGTAACTTGACTTCGGGAATTTAAAGGAGTTAAGATTTTCCCCATCATATATCATTCAAATAAAAGAACTATAACACACATTAATAAATAATTGGCTTTTAAAAGTTATTTCATACTGAGAATAGGCAGCATTTCAAATTGTTTAGTTAATCAAATGATGCAATAACTGTTCTGATTACAAACAAATAATGTCTCTGTCTTCTATCCTCCAAAGTGTACATTCATCATTCATCCAATGGATATCAGAGTGCTGTACATGCTAAAATACAAATATAAAGTAGTACTTTTTTAAAATTTATGCTAAATTTTCTGAATAGTCACAAAGACTATTTAACTATTTTAACACAAAATCTGCTATGTGCAGCATTGCACGGTCATGGAAAATGTATTTAGAGATACTTTTAAAAATGCTTGGCTAATTTATGGGCAGCTACTCTATTTTATGGTGATGATTATAGCTGCAAATTTTAACATTTTTGGATATCACAAGCAAAAGGCAAAAATTTTCAATTTATAGAGTTTCTGAAGAAATGTGGAGAAGTGGCAATAAAAGAAGATGCTATAATAGAAGCTTTCTATTGTGATGACAATAACCAATCATCAATCAACAAATGGATGGTGAAATCTGTAGTGTGGTTTTAAATCCAGAAAATATCATTACCAACAGTCAAGAAAGTAATAAATACGTTGCTGAGAATGAAAAGCTTTCAATTAACAGTTTAGTGGGAATTCTCAACACTTGGGCTTAAAAAGGAACTGCTTAAACAGTTACATTGGGGGAAAAAAAATTAATAAAATAAATAAGATATTGAGGGTTTTTTTTTTTTTTTTTTTTTTGTTGTTGTTTTTTTTGTGTGTGTGTGTGTGTGTGTAAATTTTAATTCTATTAAGGGTATAAATGCTTCATTATTTTATATTTTTAATGTTATACGTTCTATACGTCATCTTAATGGATTTAAACTAATCATCTGAGACACAGAATGGCTGAAGTCCCAATGATTCTGGACTTTGGACTTTGTATTATTGTAGATATTAATCACATTAAAAATTAAGTTATGGTCAATGGTTTCATCTGCCAAGGACATACTATATAAATAAGCTAAGATATAAATACTATATAATAAAATACTTTTGATGCACTTAGTAAAAAAAAAAAATTGATTAGACCCTCTTTATATTGATTATAAATTATAATATTACAGCATTAGGAATAACCATAAAACAAGGGTGGATTGAAAAATGATTTAGAATTTGGTCAAAGTATTATTCCAAGAAAAACAGATTGGAGTGATAAAAAATTGCACACCATTTGCACTTGTTATTTCTTTACTAGTTCAAAAAATTTCACTACTAAATCATATTAAGTGTTGAATTTAGCTTATAATAATTCTTGAGCTGAAATTACACATGAAACTATTTTTTGCTTTCTTAAGTTAAATTTTTGATGCTCATAAATGCTCTTAATACTTTTATCTTTTTTGTCTCAATTTCGTCAATATTTGTAAGGCATAATAGTAAAAGTTGCCATTTAGTGCATAGGAAAAGCAAAATGTTTTATATACTACAGAAATTCCACAGAAGAAATAATAAATACACAAAGTTGACCTGTAACAGAGCTATTTGACATTAACAGAACTATTTTATTGAACACCATCTAAGAACGAGTTGCAGTCGACCTCCAGCTACGAAGGGATAGGTTTTTCATTATTACCTGTCCATAAAATCTAACTTTTAATTTTAAATGTTACTTCTAAATGTTAGATGTTTCGCTTTAGTGTATGTTCTCTTCCGATATGCATTTTTTTTTTTTTTTTTTTTTTTTTTTTTTTTTTAACTATTTCTGTGTTCTGTTAAATGATCTTAGAGCTAGCTGACATTTGTGTTTATAGAAGAACAGTTACAAAATGGCACCCAACAAAATGTTTAGAATTTCTGCTTATAAAATGACATCAAACAAAATGTTTAGAATTTCTGTTTATTTAGGTTTGGTTTTAAAATGAAATAACTCCCGAACTTAAGTTTTGATTGTGGAAATGATTCTCAATCTCTTTTCAAATGTGGATTGCTGGTCACAATAAATTTTGAAACCAAATGATGTTAAAATAATATCGTGCTGCTAGCACATAGAAAGTAAATTCAACAGCCTTTCAAAGGACCACAAAGATAAATTTCTTTTAAAATACTATTTGATTTGAGTTTAAAATTCTTTTTAAACTGATTATTTGTTATGAACTGCTTCTTAAAGCAAATGTAAATTCCTTACTGAATCAGATTTATAGATTCACTGATACTGTCGATTAGAATTAGTGTCGATTCTCATACTTTTAAACTTTTTTGTTAATTTGTTGTTCTGAAAAGTTTTTATAGGCATACTAAATTAAATTATGGTTTCTATTCAAAAACTGAATACATATTTTGATGATAATATTTTGAATAGATTCACTAATATTGTTGATTAGAATGTATTAGTTTCGATTCTCAGTCAGAGTAAAGGATGGTTAGAACTTTATTGCTGATCTATTATCTCGTCCTATTTGTGAACATTTAAGTACAGATTCTCATCAACTTTATGCTGTGTCCATTGAAATCCCCACTACTAGTCCTGCAGAATTACATCAATCATAGCTGGAAGATGATGGTCTTCAAAATACCATTGGAACTTTTGAGAATCCAGAGAAAGAAGTAGACTGTGCAACTTGGACTGCAAGAGAATACATTATCGAACAGAAGAGTGTTGCACCGATATTCTCCTGATTCAAAAGAAGAAGCATAACTAGTTACACCTCAACAAAGAAAAGCAGAAGTCTTGAAAGAATATCATGATTCACCCAGCAGGTCACTACGGATCTGATGGAGCATTTTTATCAAATAGCAAAAAGATACTATTAGGTTGAAATGAGAAAAGATATAGCGGGCTATGTCAAAAGCTGTTTCTAATGCTGTCGCTATACAGCCTCTAATTAAAAGTCATCTCGGTTACTTCAAACTCTGTGCTCAATACTTTGAGACCTTGTTAAATGACCTTCCTGAAACAGCATATGGTGAAAAATGGATTTTTATTGTGCAAGACTGTGTCACTATTTGCTTTAAAGGAAGCAATGGCCAGAGAATGTGCCACAACTCTTTTGGAAGAAGTTGCCCTTTGATTTGGATTACAAAATAAAATAACTAAGTGATAATGGTACTCAATTTACGAGTTCTGCCATGCAACAACTATGCTATCTTTTGAACATTGATCTATGTTCTCTTCTGATATGTATTTTCTTTGTAACTGTCAGTCTTACTCCTGTCTATCACCTACCATCCAATCCAGTTGAAAGAAGCCCCATTCATTAGAGCAGTTTCGACTGGTAGCGTAAAGTGGTTCTTCCAACGTGTCCCATTAACACGGTGACAAGCATTAACTGCTTCTCTCAATTGGAGGTAGAATTTGGTAGAACGTTCCTACCTCTCGCGAGCAGGGCAAATGGGAAGATTTCCCATACTGCACAGCGTGATTGCGCAGTTTACTTAATTTTAACAAACAACATGGCTGACGTGCAGATGACTGCTCACTAGACTGTCAGCGAAACAATTGTGTTGGTAGATACCTGAGGATGCAATATCATGCAGAAAAATTACATAGAACCGTACAAAATATGAAAATTTGTTAATAAGTAGGGACAAGATTATCTGATGACTTGGTATTCCAGAAATAC